CGTAGCCCTTCCAGTCACAATCCATTACTGGGGAAAAAAGTGTTACCAAATATTTGGAATTAATGTGTAACATACAGATGCTGACAACGGAGGTGAGAATCCAATTGCAGAGTCTTTATTACACAAAGAATGGTCAGGCAGATAAGGGTCGATCAAAGAAGCAAACCGAATCCGAAGGACAATCCAAAAGAGTAGCCAAAACCAGACATGAGATTGGTACAGGCAGCTAACATCAAAAAATCAACAAAGCAAGAAATCAAGACACAGCAAGGCAAATCACTTTGTAATGCTACAGGTAGAACAACAAGACTCAGCAACTAGTGTGAGTGAGTGAGGTGTAATTATAGTCCTAACAGGACTACAGGAGCAGTTTTAAGCATATTTTTATAACGTTACAATCACCAGCAATCCGCGGTAGCTAGATTGCTGGTGATTGTAACGTTATAAAAATATGCTTAAAACTGCTCCTGTAGTCCTGTTAGGATAACGTAAAAAAGGACTAAGCGATGACCTCAAAATTAGGAAATTGTAGTTCCCTAATTTTCCTTTCTACTGTGTGTGCATGTGTGTGTATACAGTCTGTGTATGTGCATTGAATGAATGAATGATTCTTATGCCTTTTCTTAGGATAATGCTTATAGTATAACATTTAAAATCAAATCCCCTGTTCGCCACTTAACACACAAATATGAAACTTTCAGAAATAATTTTGACTTATAATGTAAGAACACAGCAAATCATAATAGCAGAAGGGGAGACCGGGAATAGTTGTAACATTTTTTACATTTCTCTATATATCTTTGAGATCTTTTACGCCAGTGCATTCAAAACTTTAATGAAAAGTGCTATTAATTACATAAATGTTATCCTTGCAGCACAAACAGTAAGTGCTTAGTTTAGTTTCAAACAGGATGAGTGAAATCTTACAATTCACCTCTTAATCACCATGTGCTTAAATAACATCAGGATTTCCCCCCAGGGTGAGAAGTAACTGTATAAAATAAGAATTATGATTTCAAAAATGAGTTTAAAAGCTTTTTATTCAACACTGAGTTTTCAGCATAGTTGTTGTGTGTCTCTGTGTTGCAAAGCTGAATACAATGTGCAAGTGTGTCTCAGCTTCAACATGGCTTTATGAGCCCGCAGAGAACAGGTCAGCAACTGAAGACTAACTTATTTGGCTTTGAGGTCTTTCTGTAGACCTGTAGAAATAATAAAATTAAATCATATAAATACAGTTGGCGGCATGGTGGCTCAGTGATTAGCACTGTCGCCTCACAGCAAGAAGGTCACTGGTTCGAGTCCCGGTTGGGTAAGTTGGCATTTTTTGTGTGGAGTTTGCATGTTCTCCCTGTGTTCGTGTGGATTTCCTCCGGTTGCTACGGTTTCCCTCACAGTCCATAGACTTGCTCTAAAGAAAAATTGAGCTAAATTGTTAGTAGTGTATGAGTGTGTGTGGGAATGCGAGACTTGGTTGCGGCTGGAAAGGCATATGCTGGAATAGTTTCATCCTGCTGTGGCAACCTCCGGTAAATCAGAAGCTAAGCCGAAGGAAAATTTAATGGATAAATACACTTTTTAATCTGCTTGGGGTTGGTGGTAACAATTCATTGATGTTGCTAACCATGAGTTTGTTGTTACAACTTCCCTATAGTCTTGCAGACATGAATTTGCTCAACTTACAGCTAAAAGCTAAAGCATAATTACTGACAACATACATTAAAATATCATTTAGCTTTGATGGATTTAACTACAAATCAGGCATTGCTATCCCAAAAATTATTTCAATAAAACTATGACTTTCTGTGAAATGTAGTTTTTTCCATCTAACGTGCTGCATTTGCTACGGGACTCATATATGAATATGAACATGTGTGAAGTAATTCAGCTGATTTGTAACTAGTGCCTGATTTTAGAGATTGAAAATGTTACAACTGACCCTTGTTACAACTATCACCGGTCTCACTCTAATTTAATTTAATGCCCTTGACAGTGGATCATTGTGTGGTGGTTTTGCGCTTTGATGTGGACAGAGATTCTTTTTAAAGAAAGACAGGAAAAACTCCCTTTTATAATAGTTTCTGGATAAGAATGGGCATGGCCTAAATTGTATGAAACGGGTCAATTGAAATGCCTATGAAAATGGTGATTGCAATCTGCATGTGCAGCCACTCCCACAGTTAGGGCTATAAAAGACCTGCAGAATTGCACATCAGACTTTCAGTTCAGAGCCAGCATGTCTCTCTGAAACTTGTGTTACTGTGAGAAGTGCAGAAAGAGAAGTTCCAGTTGTGTAATGTTGCATTTAGCCGCAGATCCTGGGTCTTGTGTTCTGCATTTCATACACACAAAAAGAGCAGTCGAGTTTGCCTCAGGGCACTGTGTAGTCTGGCAATGAACTGTGAGGTGTCCTTGAGGCAAAGCCGCACAAATTTATTTATTTTTTTCCTGTGGAGAACCAGGTATCTTTAAAAAATAAAATAAAATAGAACAGCGTTTGACAATATAGTCATTGGCCTTGATGACCTTAATGTATGTGAATTGATGACCTACAATATGTAAATGTTTTTTCAGCCAATGATAAACTTTTGGTGAAAGGTTGTGACTATTTTTAATTTCACAAGTTTCCTTTTACAGCACTTAAATGTAAATAAAGGGTAATGAGATATGCAATTGGCCTCATTAGTAGCAGGCTAGCGCAGAAACTCTATTGAAAATACTGGGGTAATATACATTTCCATATTTGAATGAAATGGTGCAGAAAATTTAAATTTAATGCAGGGCTCCTTGTACGATCTGATTCCTGATTTATAATGAAATCAGCAGACATGCTACACACAACTACACACATCCTTTACTCAACCAGAAGTACAGATACTCATGTTTAAAATGACACCCAAATTCCTCTTAGAAGGTTATAAATATGCAAACATTGCTCATACAACAATAGACCTATATAAACATGAGTATATTGACAACACAGAAAACATGCAACAGCCTAACAACCATATTATTTTTATAGTCATTTATTAATTTGTTTCATTTAATATTAACCTCAACTAAAGAGACTGGTGGACACAATGTTTTTAGCACAAATCTATTCTTGGTTTAATTTTGGAGACCGCCAATCTGAGGTCTTTCTCAATATTCAGTTGTGGTATTTATTTTTATTTGATTGCCATAAATGTGTCAGAAAGTTTACCCTGGTGTTTTTTTAAATCAAAATTTAAAGTAACACTCAGTCCTATGAAAAATAATGTAATGTAATAATGTAAAGGCTGATGGCTTTTTATTTGTTTGTTGTTGTTTTTTTACTATTAAAAAGTACTATTTTTTTCTTCTATGGTTTTTGGTTAAAACATTGTTATTTAAATAGTTTAATAACATTTTTTTTTACTTTTTTAAATTACCAAGTGACCCCTGTCATTGTCTCGCAACCCCCACTTTGGGAACCCCTGGTCTAGCACATATGGACACATTTCAGAGAACCTTTTTTGCTTCCACACATTGCCAGCTGATTTGTTTCCAGACTCAGGCCCTCCTCGGGAAAAATACATAAGATCAAAGCTGGCTTTGGTGCTGGCGCACATTGGTATTTTTCCAATATGATAAACTAATATACAGTCAAGCCTGAAATGATTCACCTACCAGACCGTAGGTTGAGCACCTCTTTCTAGTCTTACTAATGCCACTTCCACAACAGCAACCTAGTTTTCCCATGTAGTCTCCCATCCAGGTACTGAGCAGGCTTAGCCCTGTTTAACTTCAGTGAGTAACTGATCTTGCTGCAGAGTGATATGGCTGTGGCTTTAAAAGCAGTTTACAACACTATTAGCCCCCTTAAGAAATATATATATATATATATATTTATTTAAATAATTTTTTTTTATAATTTTGACTTCATCTCTTCACATGCTATGTTTAGTTCTCACACACACTTATGTGGACCACGCATAGAATGGCTGAACATGTAATGTAATGTAATGTGTATTTATATAGCGCATTTATTGTGTATGGCCATACACCCAAAGCGCTTCTCAATCATGAGGGGGGGTATCTCCACACCACCACCAGTGTGCAGCATCCACTTGGATGATGCGACGGTAGCCAGAGGACATCGGCGCCAGTGCGCTCACCACACACCAGCTATTGGTGGAGTGGAGAGACAGTGATAGAGCCAATTCGGTGGGAGGGGATGATTTGGAGGCCATGATCGTGAGGGCCGATAGAGGGACTTTGGAAGTGCCATGCGATTTTTATTGACCACAGAGAGTCAGGACCTCGGTTTAACATCTCATCCAAAAGATGGCGCCCACTGACAGTGTAGTGTTCCCCTCACTTTTACTGGGACATTAGGACTCACACAGACCACAGGTTGAGCGCCCCCTTCTGGCCTCACTAACACCACTTCAAACAGCAACCTAGTGTTCCCTAGTGGTCTCCCATCCAGGTACTGACCAGGCTCAGCCCTGCTTAGATTCAGTGAGTAAAAGGTCTTGGGCTTCAGGGTGACATGGCTGTGGCATGTCATACATTACATTGGCTTTTTTCATACATTTCTGCTTTTTTGCTGCAAAGAAAATATGAAAATCCTTTACATCTCTCCAATAAATTACATAATCAACTAGTTTAAACTCAAAATCATTTTTATATTCATATTTTTTTAGATTAATTCAGTAAACAAAAGCAGAATAATGTCAGGGTTAATTTTAGGTATGATGTTAAGGTTGCCAACTGGTGATTGTTGTATGGTGGATGTATTTTTTTCTTTTTCTTTATTTTTCTTTATTCTGAACTTTTATTGTAATTTCAATTATTAACTTTTTAATTATTACTTTTTATTATTTTATACACTGATCATGTTAGTTTTGGGTTCTGATGTGGTTTTCGTGTGTCCATTATTCATCTTTCTTTTTAATTCTTCATGTTCTGTATGTGACTTCTTTTCTTCATTCACTGCCCTGCTTGCTGTCTCGCTGTATTCTGTATTTGTCTCTCAGACTTGGAAACATCCATGGATAGTCGCTGCACCACAGACAGTGCGGACAGCACATTGCTTGGCCGTCGCTACTGAACCTTCCCTTCTTTCCCTCCTGCAGTCCTCTTCAGCTTCCTCTAATAACTGGACATTTTCATCTGTGAACTGTTGTGGTTAATTTCATTTTTTTCTTATTCCTATTCACATTTTGTGTTTTTGTATTTATGCATCCCATCACCATGCTTATTGTAAATAATTGTGCATTTGAGTGTTTCCTGTAAGTCTTCTTTTGTTCTTTTCTGTTTTATATATATATGACATTATTTTATTCTCTTTGAATGTGTGTGTGTGTGTGTGTGTGTGTGTGTGTGTGTGTGTGTGTGTGTGTGTGTGTGTGTATGTGTGTGTGTGTGTGTGTGTGTGTGTGTGTGTGTGTGTGTGTGTGTGTGTGTGTGTGTGTGTGTAAAGAAAATCATCAGTTGTGAAGTCTATTTGATCAAGAAGTGTCTGCGTAAAGATACAATACAATGCACTCAGCATTACAGTCTTTTTATGGCAGTACTTTATTCATTAAGGCATTACAGGAGGTTCCAATCATCAATGTTAGAAATTATTTACGAAATTCTTCAACAACAGATTGTAACTTGGATTAAAGTAGCATTTGGTTGGTCATTGTTCTAAACGTGTTCATACGTACCTATTTTTCTTTTTTATGTTTAAGTATTTTTAATATCTAGAAGATAAAGTATAAACTAAAAAATAAAGATAAAGCTGAAAAACTTAATTTAAACTTTAAAGGGCACATATTTTACCCCTTTTTCAATATTTAAGATGTGTTTATTTATTGTGTCTGGAAAGTTTCAGCTCAAAACAACCATCAGATTATTTATAATACCTTTCAGAATATTGTAATTTCCATCTATTTTTATGCACATTTTAGACATTCGCCCAGAAAATGGTTGATGGAAACGGCAAGATGCACATGAAAAATTTTTGAGCTCAACTGAGTGGGACAAACTTTTTATTTAATAAGGAAAAAATATGCATAAACTACGATGGAAACACTTTTACCAAACAAATTATTTTTATGGACATTAAAAAAGGTCATGTGACTTTGTTATAGGAGATCATGTGATAGTAAAAATGTGTGTGAATGGATAAACCAGCAGGCTGAGCACACTGTAAAGCATTGAAAATATTGATTTGGTCAATCTAAAATGCCATAACAGTCATTTCAGTATTAGTGTTATTTTATTAATTACCTCCAGGACTGTCAAGAGAGTCTGTGCTCCGCGTCTCAGGTCTATAAATGCCACCACGAGTTCATTGCATGTCAGCATTTGTCTTCTGAGGTGCAAGTCACTTGTGATGTGATGATATTGCTCTCTTTGACTCATTGGATGGAAACACTTCTTTATTCACACGTCTTTTGTGATATTTCAGTTTTGCGCATGAAGTTAATTCACATTTTTGGGTGGAAACATAGCTAATGTAGCTGTTTTTGTTGCCTGTGCCTTTAATGCTAGTTCTCCCTGCCCACTGTTCCCACGTGGCTGTCAGTGTGCCTCAGTTTCCAGCTGCATCAGATAAACAGCACAGTGACAGACACGAAGGAAGCAGATCTCTTGAACGTTTGTGAGAAATACTACAATAACAACTTTCCCAAATATTATTTGATGTATTTGTTGTAGAGTTAATTCAAGCCTATGGAACGTCATTGTGTGAGACTCATCATTGCATTAAGTTTACGCTAGAGAACCCGCCCCGTTTTCTATCCGCCGCGCCCGTTCCCACTAACGAGTGGGGGAGAACAAAACCGAAAACCACCCTATACAGAGTCCAGACAGCCTATAACAAACTGTCTGTATAAACACACACACACACACACACACACACACACACACACACACACACATAAGCACCAAGCAAGTGACACACACACACATAGGCATCACACTCTTTCTCTCTCTCTCACTCACACACACAGACAGCACAAAGCTTTCTCTCTCATTCGTACGCGCACACATGCACAGACACACACACAGAGTGATGCTGTGTTTAGCTTGTTTGCTGCTGTCTCATTCACACACATACATACGCGTGCTCGCTCACTCGGAAGTCGGGAGCGATATTGTTGGACAATTACTCCCGTCCAAAATTAAACCAGTTACCGACCGCTCCCGCGCTTTATTCAGAAATGTATTACCGCGCCGCAGAAATCTGGTCGGGTTGAATGCAGACCTCTAGTTCACGCACACAAACACACACACACACGCAGTTGTGACAGGATACACGTTAATATCCTCTGCTGTATGGATATCTGTTATGTTAATGTACAAATTAAACTTGATTTAATGTCCATAACCGGGATTCTTCTTTCATAATTGTACTGATATGTGGCTGTGGTGATAAAGTAAAGACGGTAAAATCGCTGTAATAAAGTTTTAAAAAGGTTTTAAATTTGTAAAACTCATTCTTGATCATATTTGATGATGATTGATGATCACAGCGATCCCAGTTTCTTTGTGTATGTCCTGTCTTGTTGATATGATTATAGGCGTTACTACAGAGACATGTTAATATGCGACGTCAATCATTTTGGTGGGTACGGGAACCACACTCCTACGTCACGTTGTGGTGGGCCGCAAAATGGGGAAAATTTGGATCCTATTTTACTGTCAGGAAATTTAAAAAAAGAGACTTAGTGTATTTTTATCACTTCAATATGACTGGGGACAAACTATACCTAAACACAGTTATGTTCAAACTGCTTAAAAACGATGTTTAGGTGCCCTTTAAATGAGCAGTTTTCCATATTTTGTGTATTTTATTTTATTTCCTGTTTATTTATGTTTTTGAAATGCATTTTGGTACATTTTCTGTGACTTTTTTGTTTACTCTTTACATATTATTTCTTATACATTATATTATTTCAAACTACTAAAGTGTGAATAAATTTTCAACATCAAAAGTCGACAGAGCAAAGATCAAGATCCCATAATGCAATTCCTACTCGTAAATATATGGATAAATGCTTGTGAATCACGAAATACGGAAACTGTTATTTAACATGTTTTACAGCGGTTAAATTAGCTATAATATTATGTTAAAAAGGAATTTATAATAATAACTTTTGTATAGCTATAATAATAATAACTGTTTTATGAAGGTCTCGAAGGTCCCCCCTCATGATTATCTCGAAAATATCCACACTGTAACACAACAGTTCATTTTCTAGCTGTATAACGTCTGACTGAATGGGCACAGAAGTGCTGATTTATTGCATTTAAATTAGTTGTCAATATTTGCCTGTGTTTTTATTGCACATTATAAGGGAATCGTGTAATAATTTTTTATTTAGACTGGACTTCTCAGGTTGTGCTTAAATAAATAGAAGCAAAATCAAATTGATCCGTTTTACTTGGCTTGATTTCTTTTTTCTTTCCTTTTGTATTACTATTTTTTTTTTTACAAAGTAGTTTTGCATGTTAAAGAAATAAGGTCTAAAATGTCATTTAGAACATTAGACTATAAATGTGCAGTAAAAAGTGTCCGTTTACTCATTTACTAATGAAGTTTCTTCAGTTAATGGATCATGATCATTCTGGATGAATGAGAAAAGATTAGGCTAGGTTCTGAATATTGCTCTTGCTGATATCAAGAAATCATATGGTGAGTTAACAATGTCAATATGTATTTTTATTTTTTTTTTAAGTGTGTGTTTCTTGAAAACAGTAAGCATGGAAGTCCCCCCCTAGTAAACCTAATCATTAAAGAATTGTACATGAGATTGAGTTGGACTTTCCATTCATTAATTCTGGATTTATTTTTCTTATTTTTTTAAATTTCAGGTTTCCCATCAATATCTCGAAACAGAGATGCCTACCAGTCTATTGACCACAACGATCAATCTGGAAGCTCTGCCAACCCCTTTGGCCAAGCGGAAGATGGCAAATCTGGCACTCGTTCCTACTAAACATTTATTAAAAAATATATATAGCAAAATGTTTTGCAACCCAGGCTAAATGTGAATTTTTGCTTGGTTCATGATTTGTGTATGTTTTTGTTTAATTTGTATGCCTATTTATTATTATTATCATTATTATTATAAATAATAGTATTAAATATAATGTTGAAGCATGAAGGAAAACAACTTTACATTTGGAGATGCCTCGTTACTGAAGAAAACTCAGAGATAAATGAAAACCCACCTTCAACACCTTTTTTTTAACCTGAGGACTGCTTTGTACAAGTGCAAGCTGTTTGATGTTTTAAAGGTGTTATTTGTGAAGCTCAAAATTTGCTGCTTCATAGTAAGGTTCCTTGATGCTATAATTTTGGTGTGCACAACATTATTATTATTTTTTACTTTTACTTTTCTTCATTTACTATTTTGTAGCATAAAATTGGTCCATTTTGTGAAAGGTTTAAACTTTTTTTTCCAGCCTGATCTCACAAGAAAACGCAAGTATTTTACGTTTTGTCAGTTTAGTGGCTAATTCGTACAAATTTGTACAAGTTCAGTCATACAAAAATTAATGATTTTAAAAAGTAGGCATGGCACCTAACCCCACCCCTAACCCCAACCGTCATTGGGTGATGAGCAAATCGAACTAAATTGAATGAATTAGATTGTACAAATTCATATGAATTAGCCACTAAAACAAATAGTTATGAATTACTGTGAGATTGCATTGGTTTTTCTTAAACCTTGTCATGGGATCTGTCCTGTATTAGCTATATATTAGCTAAAATATTATAATTAGTAAAATTCTATGTTATCTATCATTCGTTATCATATATGGCCATATATATGTGAATTATATATATATATACAGTTGAAGTCAGAACTATTAGCCCCTCTTCCTTTTTTTAAATATTTCCCAAATTATTTTAACAGAGGAAGAAAATTTTAGATATCGATAAGATTTTAGATATAGACACAGTATGTCTCATAATATTTTTGCTTCTGTAAAAACTCCTATTTGTTTTATTTTGGCTAAAATAAAAAAGTTTTTAAATTTTAAAAGCCATTTAGAGGTTATAATTATTAGCCCCTTTAAGAAATTTTGTTTATATAGTCTACAGAACAAACCATCATTATACAATAACTTCCCTAATTACCCTAACCTGTCTAGTTAACCTAATTAGCCTAGTTAAGCCTTTTATTGTCACTTTAAGCTGTATAGAAATGTCTTGAAAAATATTCTATTATTAGAATATTATTCTATTATTCTGTTATTAGAAAAGAGATATTAAACTATTATGTTTAGAAATGTGTTGAGAAAATCTTCTCTCCG